ACACGTAAACGGCATAACGGATTGTATTAATTCACAAAATTTAAAAAGTTGTATAACTCATTCTTTTTCGTGACATAATTGGAAACAGCGTAACTATCTTTCAAAAATAAAAAAAAACTGTAAAAAAATATATTAATTTATCCAAATGTGTACATATGCACGTAAAATAAATCATCTTCAAAAGTTTTTCAGTTTCTTGTATCATCTGATTCCGACGAACAAAGTATCGGAAATATATTTGCCCATTCACTTTTCACGATGACGACTATATAAATTATGCATGAGTTGAGCCTATGGCGAAAAGTGAAGTTTTTTCGCGTGCATATCCAGAGCAAAATCTGTTGATAGCATCGATATTAGAGAACATATATTTTTTATTGCTCTTTACCATATACATTGCTCTTTATAACTAAAACACAATACTTAAAAATTATTGTATACAATTAACGAATCTAATTTTACAATGCGTTTGGTTGAAAGTGAGTTACACGAGCGAGAATGTCTCTCGTTAATATCCACATTACAATCATCTCATTATTAAGAAAAGAAATATGATGGAGTAAAGGAAACTTTTCCACATAATCATTAAAAAAAAGATTACAATCTCCATGGAGTAATTATCCAGTTATTGGTATAACTACTTCACTTCCTAGGTAATATAATATAGCTTTCTTGTTACAGGTTATATCTCTGTTTAATAATTGCTATAATTTTTATTTTCACTTACTATCATATGTATACATATATAATGTACTCACAAACGTTTATTTTTGCATTTTTACATTAGCAAATATAACATATACCAGGTGTATATTTTTCGGTATTCATTTTAATCTCAACAGATAAACATTTTGAAAATACTCAATTTTACAAAAAAACATTCCATATAAAACTTGTATGGATAGATGGCGACGTCTATCTATTTGGAATGTTTTTTGGTAAAATTGCATATTTTCGAAATATTTGTTGTTAAGATTAAAATCGATCATCCTGTGTGTGTGTGTGTGTAGAGGAAAGCCTCCTATTACGAGATAGGCGCCTAATATGAGATAACGGCGTTTCTGCTAAACTAATAAAAAAATATTGGTTCCACCATGAATGAATTGCTCTTGGATTGAAGACTATTTAGTAGAAAATTCATTATTAGATCATGCCTGCAGTCATCGTAAAATAAGATTTTAGAAATTGGATGTCTTCAAGTTTCATTGAGATCAGCATTTAAACCTTGTTTATTATTTAATAAATAAATATTTGGCAATAAATTCTTCATGTAGTGATAGAGTAAGGTCGTACTAATAGAAAAATACAGGATATGTTGAATTGTTTAATTACAGAAGTTAGATTTGATGATCGTAAAACCACAAGGCGTGGAAATCATAATAGAGATACCCAGGGTATTCCTAATATGAAATAACCAATGCTCCTATGTATAGTGAAAATCGTTGCTAAAGTATAAATGTTATTGTACAATAATAAAAAAGATAACTGGAATGAACGTCGAGTGCCTATGTCTGCGATGCTTGATTCCAACTATCTAGAAAACGAGTTTTGAGTATAATCTATCGCATGCTCATTTTTCACGCACGCTGGCTGCGTTTGTTTGTGTGTGTATTTTAGAAACTCTTGACAACATCGCCGCGGCTATCAAAATGTTAATTAATCGGCTGTAAAGAGTCTCAAACTTAAAACCGCACGGATCAAAGATCAGTAACGGAAATAAGATTCTTCTTTCGTCTGTTATCGTTTCCTGCCGTTCTCTTGAATGAAACGCGTTCAAGACAACGTTAGCGATACGACGCGATACGACGCGACGCCACATCATGCACTCACACCCTCGTCGTGTCGCACGTGCTGCATACGTAATGCACATCGACGCAACGAACAAAGCGAGACGCAAGTGCATATCGTCGAATCACGATGGATGGGACAACCAAGGGGTGCTAAGCTCTCTGTGCATATATGCTTTAGAAAGTATCTGAATTATTGATCCTACAAAAAAATTGCAAAGCCATCGATCCTATTTTATGTTACATGCCTGACGAACAGATTCGAAATAAACAGAGATAATAATAGCAAAGTAAATTAGGTCACGTGATATTCCCTCGTAGAATCCCCTCGCTATATTTTTCCTCTCAATAATTTAAAAAGATATTTAAGAAAGATATAATTTTTCATACTTTTTGAATATGCAGCAGATGGAAAGTTAAGACATATACATTAAATTTATGGTTGTAAAATCGATAATTTCCTTTGATTCCTATTTATTATTCCTACATCTTCAAACATTTCCAAATCTTCATCTATCAAATGACAAGATAGATAGTATAAATAGTTGTTTATCATTACAATAAAGATTTTACAAACAACGTCAACTGGTTTTTGGACTTGATTGGCTTTAAATCCTATTATTTTTTGATTCGCACGAGTCTATTACTTAAGGATCTTATATTATAAATAGTTGTGTATTGCTGTCAGTATTGCCCATCTTATTCGCGTAATATTATTCTAAATCTGCACTATTCCTATGACAATTCGTCGTTTACTATCTATTATAGACTTAATAAATAAAACGACTTTTTCTTATTAGGATCAAAGGACATATGATAAATAAGAAATGTGTTTTAGCATTTGTTAATTTTGCTGGGTCTATATCAGGCACATACGTATATAGATTTAGTTTTCATTCTTACTCTTCTTATACATATTATCTTTAAATTAAGCTCGAATTATCTTACTTTCACTCTTCCTCTATATACTTATTACGCGACTATTCATAAAAACGCATATGTAAGTATAAATAATGTGTGTATATGTATATATGTTATTCCTATGTGTGTTTATTCTTTGGAGCCTTTTATCAAAATCAAGAATTGACAAATAATGCATAAATGCAAGTGCAGAGTATCCATAAAGATCAAACTCTGTACTTAAAAAAGTGATCTTGCAGTTATAGCGAAAATTATCTAAGTACGAAAAATTAGTTAAAATAGATAAATTTCTAGCAAGTGTGTGTGTGTGTGTGTGTGTGTGTGTGTGTGTGTGTGTGTGTGTGTGTGTGTGTGTGTGTGTGTGTGTGTGTGTGTGTACTGCGATATTGGATATGTATTGCATCTAATCATATAGATCACAGAGAGCTAGAATTTAGATCTGTGCTATAAATTCTATGCGTATGATACATAATTTTCTATTAGGTACAAAAAACAGCGATAATTCTAACTGGAGCAGCAAAATATTCTTTTGCGTGTGATCTGGATTAAATCTGAATGACTGCGCGGATAGTCATCATTGCAGGTAAAAATGATGATATACGTAATTCTGTAGCCTGTCTACGCATAAACGAATACGCCGGCGCACAAAAAAAGAGTGTCTACAATGTCTACATCATCTCCGTTACAGTATTTTTTACGCTTATATATTATATCTTCCACAACGGAAAAATCTCGTTTAAAATTAAGATAATTAAAAATCGACATAATATCGAATAATGAGCAGAATTGAGTAAATTTCGTTATCACTGTTGTTGTCAATTTTCATTAAGTATGTCGTTAAATTTAGATATACAGGGTGTCTCGCAACTACCGCACTTTCCTCTTAAGAACATATTCTTGAGGTGAAACATAATTTTGAGATGAAAATCCTAATACAAAAATATCAAGGATACAATGGTTTAAAGATAGCGTGTAATTTGAAAACTATTACATAGCCTCGATATTTTTGTATTAGGATTTTCGTCTTAGAATGTTTAAAAGAATCCAAAAATAATAATAAAGGCTATAAAAGTAAAATGGTTTTTAACTTATAAGCATTTAAAGTTAGATTATAATTTAAAAAATTATTGTAGTCTCGACATTTTCGTATTAGAATTTTTGTCTCAAAATTACCTCAAGAATATGCCCTTAAAAGGAAATGCGATAGTTGCGAGACACCCTGTAGAGTTTAAATATAGATTTTAAAGTCGCTACCAAAAAAGTATATTGAAAAATCTTTTAATTACAAGAATATCAAAGCCAAAGGAAAAAAATAGTCCACAATTGTTACAATAAATGTACACGAACTTTCAACAATTTTATTCCAGTGAAAGCTTTGTTTCTTTTTTGTACCTTGATACTTTTTTTAAGGCGCCTCCAGACGGTATGATCAATGTATGGCAACATTAGCAAATATCATACGTATACGTGACATACATAATTATCCATATTGAATGTAGTCAATATTTAGTGAATGTGTGCAAAGTTGACGTATAGATAAGATCATCGTCTGGAGGCGCCCTTACATTAACAATATGATTATATTCTGTGATTAGTTGAAAACAAGATTGCAAAGCGCAAGAATGAAATTGTTAAAACGTTGCTGCAATCAAAATTTTATTTTTAAGTATAAAAATATATAAAATCAAATTTTTAATAAATTCACATTTAAGTGGATTATAATCTCAGCAATTTAATCGAGACAAATTGATCGTAATTTGCGAGAAACGACCAAGCAGAATTAATTCATGATATACTCTAAAATATTTATAATTCGCAAATGTTATAAATATCAAATCAATGACGTTTTATCATTTGTAAATGTAAACATACTTGAATTAGGACATATAAATTGTACCCTAACGATTCTGCGATACATTTCCACACCAGACACGTGTTTTAACGCTTGAAAATTGGATTGGAATAATAGCTATTTACGGAATTCCGCGTATTAAAATCTTGTATCATATTATCATTTACTTAAAAAATAAATATACCAGGCTAATGTCAAGAGATTATAGAATAACGTTAAAATAAAAAAAGGAAAATAGAAATAATACAAAGAAATAAAGGAAAATAATAAAGAAAAAACAGAGGGGGGGGGAGGGAGAGAGAGAGAGAGAGAGAGAGAGAGAGAGAAGGGGAGGAAGAAGGAAGATTTACTTCGTAGGCTCTCTCTTTTGGTGGGCAGAAAGAAAAACGGAGAAAAACGACGCGTATAAAACGAAATGGCGAGTAGTGTACAAGACTTACCGGCAATGGCGACGAATAGGAAGAATATCCACGTATCCATGAGTCTGCCGGTCGAGAGGAAGCCGCCACTGCCGCTGCTTCTAGCTGGGAAGCTTCGCCTGTCCATCACGCGCTGAGATGCATCGCTGATTTGACACTCGAGATTACACTCCTCTTTCCGATTCCGCGGCCAATACACACCAACCGATTCGCGCCGTATCGCGCGAATCACTGAAAAATCCTTGGAACGGAACGACGAGCGCGCGGGGGCGCGCGCGCGCGCGCGCGAGTCGTCTCTCACCCAACTTCACTCGAGTCTCAACGGAACGGAAATCTGTCCTGCCACGTTCCAGTGTCCTTCCTTCACATCGTATACTCGTACATTACAACGTTCTTGCACGCGACAGTTGGCACGAACGAAATGACAGGAACGGCGGCGACGCTCTCGGCGGTCGCGCGCACCGCCTCCTCGCGCGTGCCCACGACGTGCGCGTCTCACGCGTGCGTGGATACGAGTTTACGCACTCTACCTTCGTCGTGTGTACATATATATTAGATGTGTATGTACGTGTGTGTATACGTACGCGTTACGTCGAACGTGGTTGAACGTGGTCGAATGCGTCGTCCGCTGGATAACGTCTATACGTAGTACGTGTAGTACGCGTGCGAGGAGAGACGTCAAGTTGCACTACCGGCACTCGCAACGCGTGCCGAAGCGGGACAAACAAACGCTACGACGATGGAGACGACAAACGGCGTGTACTTGGTGATGACGTCTTGGCGAACGGCGAGATTACGCGCGCCAGACGAAAGAATGAGGAACGGAAACCAAAAAAGAAATTGAAAGTGAGAGAGAGAGAGAAAGAGAGAGAGAGAGGGGTGGGGGAGAGAGAGAGAAGGATAGAGAAAACGTGAGGCGAAGGAAACGACGTCCCTCAACGACGTGGAGCGCAGCGGCGTGCGTACGCGGACCGTCGTGCTCTCACCGCCGCGTTACCCGGAGTATTGACCGACTCTGCTCCTGCTTCAACACAGCGCGGCGCGGTGCGGTGCGGTGCGGTGCGGGTGAAGGAGAGGGGATGACCGAAGCGCGAACGTGGAGAAGAGAGTCAGCGGAGCGAAGAGGAGAAGAGAGGAGAGCGGAGCTGAACGAAGCTGAACGGAGCCAGCGGAGCAGGCCGCAGGCATGCTCCGTACTGTCGACTGCCTTGTAACTGGCCTTACGGGCTGCGCGCGCACCACGCAGGCGCGTACCTCAAATTTCGTACTTCTCCAGCGCGGCGGCTCCGACCTCCGCTAGTCCACTCCCCTCTGACCCGTCCCGGTCCCAGACTGTTCGTCCAGGCAGCTAGCCAGCCGGCCGGCGCGACGCGACGCGCAACGTTGAGAATTGAGAATCTGTTTATGTATTTTATGGCACGAATGTGTTTACACATGTATACCATACGTATTCGCGCGACCCATGCGAATTAAAATCGAAAACTGATCGCGGCTACGAGCTGCGAGAGTGTCATTAAACCACGCTTCGTCGGTGACAGCTCGCATCAGTCGCCGCCGCACTATTACATTGACACATACCTTATATCGACGTAAATGTTAATAGAAGTAGAGGTGTACTGTTCCCCCCTCTCTCTCTCTCTCTCTCTCTCTCTCTCTCTCTCTCTCTCTGCTCGAAACATTAAAAATTCCTCGTACTTTTATTCATAATACGATTTATTATTGTTAAACTATTTTATTAAACTAAAAAAATAAAACACCAAATCGATACTTTGATAAATACGTCAATTCAATCCATAAGAATTTTTATCTCTTTATCCCTTTCGGTGTCAACTGTAAATCTGTAGAATCATTTTTTATGAAATTCGACCTATTCACATGCATTTAAGTATTTTACTTAAATTTCTCTGTGTTTAAAATCCAAATGTACATGTATGCTGAAAGAGTATTAATATATGTATAATTGATAATATAATTAAAGTTACTTGGTCTGTATGATTTTAATATACGATATATAAATAACAATTAATAATGAAAGATATACGTTTATTCAGAAACGGCGGAAGACTTGCGTGTCAATATGAACGAAATTATACGCGAGCTACAATTTGTGTTTTATTCCTGAGCGTTGTTTTACAAAATTAATACGAGATTATGAAAAATGTATATTATGCTTCGATATTCCTGATTATTAATGAAAACACATAAAACTCGCTCGTTGATATTAAGCTGTGAAATATGGAGTACATCTATAGAGATAACGTTTCTGATATAAGCACAATTAATGTCGGAATAAAGTCAAGACGATGAACGCATTTAAATCCGCCGCATTCTTTCGGTTACCCGAGAGATGAAAACTTTTATCTCACTTGATATCACGATAAGCGTCAACAACGCCATATACCGACAATCTCGGCCATTGTTAAGAAAGAATTCTATGGACGGGAGGACGCGCGCGTTTACAGGGAGAGTATTAGACTTTTTGTTAACAATAAGGCATTTCCCCACGGCAACGCGGTTGCAAATCTCTCTCTCTCTCTCTCTCTCTCTCTCTCTCTCTCTCTCTCTCTCTCTCTCTCCTCTCACTCTATGGTAGTGACCCACTTTTTGCGCTTCTTTTTTATGCAAATGCACACAATTGCCCGAGATACATGTAAAAGCAGAAATGGAAAAATAATCGTCGGAAACGTGTAATACGTCAAGCTGGACATATTTTTCCAATATTCCATCTTGATATCTCGTCGACACAATATATGTCAGCTAGAAAGAAATCAAGGTGCGAGATGAAAAGAGATATAATTGGATGTAGTACGATTACTTTTAATATTAGTGACACAAAATAGTTGTCCTTATTTATCGCATCGCAGCTGATTCTCATCGTTATAAAGTTACTTCGATACCTATTTTAAACATGCGCATGCGAATTATAACCAATGCCACAATGAACGTCCGGAACGCTTTGACGATCAATATTTTGAGGATTCCGTATTTCTATAAGCGTTTCTCCTGACACGAATCTGCTTTCAGATTTGAAAGATATAGTAATCGTCGAGTGTCATTTAGCGTGACATTTAACCTCCGTTATATGTATACGTATATGTGTATATACATATACACACACACACACATATATATATATAAAAGAGGTTTTAAATGAAACATGATTCTTCGTGACAGTAAAATCAATCTCTGCGTCTTTCATGATTTCTATTTTTGTATTTATTCGTATAAATTATAATTTCTAGAAAACTCGATTATTTATAAATCTATACTTATAAAAATATATTTGCGACTCAATGGGAAGAAAACATTTCAATATACACGTATTATTCATTTATTTGTAGATTCAGATATTTTTTCATTTCTATTATTTTTTAATATCTCGACGTCGCGTCTCATCAAATAACCAAAGTTTGCCCTATTCTTCCACAAGATATTAATTAAACTATTAATTAAACATGACGAGACTATTCCTTAATTAGTGCCATACATTTAACTACTTCTCTCTGTCCTACGGAGCTGGTACGGAGTGGTTGCGCATAGACCGCTTCTATTTAATCTCCATTTCTCATCACATTATCACATCACATTCAGCAAAGCTAAGCACGAAGGTACACATTCACTCGAGAACGAGTGCAGGTAAGGGACTAGACATATTTGAACTGGCACAAGCAGTTTGCTGGACCGAGTGATATCAGCGAGGGAATTAATGCGTCATAAAGAGCTTGGAATTTGTAGTAATGTAAAAAGAGTCTCTGTTCTTAATACTCGTATGAATACATATGAATAAAAGCATAGGATATGTATGTTGAAAAAAAAAGAAATATGCAAATGTTTCTTATGATTACTTCCGCAAATCAATTTACAAAATTAGTTGGAAAAATTCGATTGTGTTTTTAAACTGAATCTTTTAATTAGAATAAAATAAAACTTGACGTATGTTGTATGTTCGACAATTTGATCAGCGTTTTCGAGATTGTCTTCCGATATCCGAAAAATAGATCAGATATGCTCGATACACCAAAATTGTCTATACTGAACGGAAAATTTTTCAGTTTGTTCTGATCAAATTTCATTCCAGTTTTTGCAGCATTTCTATATAGGTTACTTTTTCTTCCATTCTATTTTTCAATCTGCTGCGGAAAAAGAATCAATTGACTTGAGAACGCACAGTAACATAAAATAAATGAAACGCAAATATAAGAACTATAAAAAGAGAAAGAACAAGAGAGAAACAGATTAATGCTCCTGTGAGTAGTCATCACAGCCATATTGAACCGTGACGTCAGAAGCAAGAAACGACACGTTAATTTTTATTACGTGTCATTTATAAATAAAGACAATTTGAATAAACCAAGATGACGAGATTGCTTTAAAACATTTGTAAAAATGGACGAAAACTATGCTTATCTCTCCTCCCTGACAGTCAGTAAATAATTGTAAAAAGTAATAAAAGACACATAAAGTGCTTTTATTCAATGCGCATGCGTAGTTTATTTTCACTTACACGTACCTTTTATCACTTTTTACGATTATTTACGAATTATTTACTGACTGTCAGGGAGAATAAGTATAGTTGTCGTCCATTTTTACAAACGTTTTAAAGCAATCTCATCATTTTGTTTTATCCAAATTGTCTTTATTTATAAATGGCACGTAATAAAAATTAACTTGTCATTTTTCGCTTCTGACGTCATGATTCAATATGACTGTGGCGACTACTTTAACTACTTAGGAGCCTTAAGGTCGATATTCATTATAGGTAGTTCTTATTTGAGATCGTTTTAGATACGACCTTAAAATATCATAAATAGTCAATTACAAAGCCATATTAGCATCTTAAAATATTTTTAAGATGGTCTTGAAATAATAACGGATTACAAATACAGGTCTAAGAATCAACTCTTGTTTATTCTGTGTCAACTTACGTCCCTGAATGGAAAACACTACACTTTAGCATACCGCTGGAGCTTCGCTGCGACTAATTGCGATGGCAATGAATTGCGTTCGTATGTAGTTACCCTCGCACGTGACTTTCGAAAACGGTCGTGTGTTCAGTACCCTACACTTAGCGGGGTGCTTTTCTCTAATGACACGGTGGCGTTTATTAGCCAATTGTATAGGTACGCATATACACCGCAACGCTTGCTGCTCGTATCGCGGTCGAGTGGTATTTATCAGGTGTTCAGGTATTTATCAAACGATCAGCATTCTAAGCGTGTGCTAATCGTGCTTGAATTTTCACACGATGATAGGCATCGCGATACCAAATAGCAGAAAAATTATACATATAAATAATGTATTATTATAAATTGCAGTTATGTACATATACAGTGAGTGCAAAAAGTATTTGTACAGAAAAAATATTCTTTAAAAAACTTTATTTTTAAAAAGTAAATATTATACAGCGAGAAATGAGTCATCGAATTGATGCTGAATCAATATCGATACGACACCAATGATTTCAACACCAATTTGATGTCGATTCGACGTTTAATTGACGCTCATTTCTTGCTGGGTTAAGGGGAAAGTGGGCGAATTGTGCGCACCTAAGGGATATTTATTTTCGTGGGATGGTTTTCTAAGTTCAAAGCGATATAAGTATGGAAATAGAAACTATAAACATTCTCCTACCATTACGTATACTTATCTTGAACAGATTTTCATTCAATATAAGGTTGTATTTGGCAAAAAGGAAAAAACGGAAAAGCGAAAAAATTTCTCGCCCGTCGGGTAATTGTGCGCAAAACAAAAGTCGTAAGAAATGAATGAATTGTGGAATGTTGACATAGAAATCAGAACATACATTCATTATATTGCAATATAAATATATATTAAACATATTTTAAATGTATATTGTATATATTAAGAAAAAATACAAAAC